CGGGGGGGGGCGGGGAGGGAGGGAGCACTCCCTCTGCCCTGTGCTGTGTCTCATGTACCCTGGCACCCTCGTCTGCTGTCCAGTCTGAGAAGACTGCCCTTCTCCAGCCTGGGCCAGAGCTACAGGAAATTGGCACTTGTGAGGTCTGAGAGCTGAATGCCTTCTCCTCTGGCCTCACCCGGCCTCCAAGGCCGCTCTCCCCAGGGCCCGGCACTGGCCCCGGTGGCTGCACTTCCCTTTCACTGCCAGACCTCCACGTCCCCACCCCGGAAGGCCTCGGAAGGAGTGAGTGCCGACGTGAGGGCTGCCTCTCTGTTCCCTCTCCTGTGCCAGCTCCCCACTCACCACCTCCCACCAGCTGTGGCATAGGGGCAGAGGGCTCAGCTGGCAGGTGCCTGGAGCCCTTGGGGGCTGACCCGCTGGAAAGGGTCACAGATGGAACCTGCCATTGTGGTATGGGTGGTGTGGGTTCATCCACTGTGTCTGGTGCTGCCTAGACACTTATGAAGATGTGCACGTCCCCCGTAATGATGCTCAAACTGTGGCTGGTTCTCCACCATGGGTCTGTGACCTACTGGTGAATTGATGACACCCAGTAATCCAATAAAGTTCATGTCAGTGACTCATTCCAACTGGTGTCTTTTTCTGTGCCTGGGCTGAGGGGGAACAATGTGGGGGAGGGCATCTATTAACAGTGAGCTCAAGGGGAGCTGTCCTTGAAGGACCCTGGGGTCTGCCACAGCTCCACTTAGCCCTCCAGGCTGCTGCCTGGTAGGGCGAGTTGAGGCCAGAGGGAAGATTCCACTGTGTAAACTGAGCCAGAGGGACTAGAAGCCCAGGCCCTGTAGGGGTCATTGAGTCAGTCACTGGCCAGCCAGGACTCTTGAAACAGTTTGGAAAGAAGACCCTTCCCTTCTCCAGACTTACTATCTCCTTAGAGTGGGGACTGGCCTAGGCTTGGACTGGTCTTAGGCCCTTTACTCTCTGATATCACACAGCCCTACCAAATAAACCCCTCCATCCATACACAAGCCTGTCCTGGCCCCCACACTCCTGCCTGAGCTCAGATTCTGAAGTGCTGCTTTGTGCCTGGGCCCCAGAGGTCCTGGGCAGCTGCCTCTGTGACACTGACAGTGGCTGGAGAACTAGATATGGGTCCCCAGGAGCCAGGGAGGCCCCAAGCAGGGACAGCCTGTGGGCCAACATTGGCCTCCCCACACTGCTTGGTTTTGGATCTCATAGCCAAGCTTGAACTGGGTCTTGGCTCCCAGGAATAAACAGTTGGGCTCTTCTGAGAAGGAGCCCACAGCCAAGAGCCCGCAGCCGAGAGCTCACGTACAGAGAAAACCGAGAAGTCGAGTTTGGGGCAGCAGCCTTTGTTAGGAAGCCCCTGTGAGCCCTGCGGACAGGATGTGCCGTCTGTGGCAGGGGCCCCGCTCCCTTCCTGCATTGTTCCTCTCAGGAAGCCAGGAGCTCAGTTCTTCTGGAAAGTCCCCATTCTAGCTCCTGTCCCAGCCAGGCCATGCAATGGGGCTGACTGGAAAGTGCCCACCTTCTGAGCTCTGGTGTCCCGTGATCATGTCCCTGCGACTCTCTAGAACTCACCTGGCCTCCACGTGCACGGTGGGGGGGGCTGCCTGCAGCTCAAGTCCTCATACTGGATGCATCAAGACAGCACAAGTCCAGCCTCTCTTCGGGGCCCTCTGGCCTTAATGCCCAGCTGCCATCGTGGATGGCACTTGATACACTCTGTGTGGAGATTAAACACCCAGTGTTAGGCTTTGGTTTGTCTCTGCCCCTAGAATCTGCAGGGAGGCCTCGTGTGGAAAACCATGTTCATTCGGTTCTCCGGCTCCCCAAGTGTCCAGCTGAGCAAATCCTGGGGAAAAGAGAAGGGCAGTGGAGCTGCTCTCCCTGGCAAGGCGGCCCCGGCCAGGCAGCAGGCGCTTCCCAGTGCTGCTGGGTCTTTGCTGTCCAGAGCGGGCACAGTCAACACTCAGAGGCTTTTTGAATGGCTGACCTTTCAGTGGCCAGTTTTGGATGCAAACTCTGACCACTCCAAACCATTCCCTGTCAATCCCCTGAGGCCTCGGGGTCGGGATAACTGATGAAGGACCCTTAGAGAAATCAGCCATCCGGCTCTGGGAATGGAAGGGTCTAGGTTTCAGTCTAGCTCAGCTGTGTGACACCCTCCCACCCCGTAGCCCACAGTGCCAAGTGAAGGGGCCAGGTAGACTGACTTCCTCTTCGTGCTGAAGGAGATTCCATAGGCTGGTCAGACTCTAGCTCATCGCAGAGGGACCCCTGCCCAGGACGAGCTGGACGCTAATGGGAAATGGCAGGCTGTTGGATGGGTGGTCAGGAGGCACCGGCACCCTCAGCCCAGTGCCCAGTGCGCAGCGCCCAGTGCCCAACCTGGGCACTGAGCACAGATGGCAGGTGCTGTGCTCCATACAACATGGTGAATGAAACAGCACGGTGAGAATAACCTGGAGTTCCAGTGTAATCCCTCTCGTGGCTGACCTCGTGCTCTTGTTTTCCATGGCTTGGCCACCAAAGACAGCTGAAGGATTTCATTTCTCAGCCGGCATTCAGGATAAAACCACAGCTTCTGGAGCAGGGCTTATGGGCTGAGCCCCTGGCCTCAGTAAGCGGAATCCCTATTGACAACTTTCAGAGGCGCTGATGTCTCTCTGACAACTCAGCAAATAGCAGCCTCTAAATTGGTTTTTTAGTAAAGCTGAGTTAGCTCCCTCCAGCCCAACTGGCCAATCAGGCCATCAATCAGTGAGAAGGAGAGGGAGGCCAGGGCTAAGCAGGAGGCACAGCCTGGTGCTCAGGGGACACAGGGAGCGAGAGACCCCACGAACATTGCCTGAGCACCTCCGGGGTACAGTACCTTTCCCAGGCACGACGGAGGACGCAAAGATGGAAAAACATGAGCTGGTAAAGCTGGATCTGCCACGAGCCATGCTAAGCCCTGACTCTCGGTTCTGTTCTTTGGGCCGCCTGCCCAAACAGCAGATGCAGCTGAAAGAGGCCCCGTGCTCATCCTGTGCAGGCTCCTCCCCGTCTCCTGTCCTCTCTGACACCTGTCAGCCCGGAGCATTGGTGTAACCTGAGCCGGGCTCTCAACCTGAGCCCAGCTCTCCCGGCTGCTGTAAGAAAGTATCACAAATTGAGCGGCTCTGAACAACAGGACCTTACTCTTTCCCAGTTCTGGAGGCCGGAAATCCAAAATCAAGATGTTGACGGGACCACACTCTCTCCGATGTCTCTAGGGGAGAATCCTTCCCTGCTTCTTCCAGATTCTGGTGGTTGCTGGCACTCCTTGCAGTCCCTGGCTTGTCGCTGCATCCCTCCCAACTCTGTCTTCATGTGGCCATCTCTTCTGTGTCTTCTCTGTGTCTGTGTCTTGTAAGGACACCAGTCACTGGATTAGGACCCAGTATAGAAAACCCAGTATGATCTCATGTTACTTTAATTACATCTGCAAAGACCTGGTTTCCAAATAAGGTGTGGTTCATGGCTTCCAGGTGGACGTGAATTTGGGGAGGATGCTGCTCCGCCCAGTACAGTCACTAAGG